CACGAAACCCGGGTCCAGGGTTTCCTGTCGACTACCACCAACCACCATCTAATCTCAGTATATAGTGCCCGCAGTGTCGAGTCACCTAGACTGGTGGCCACATTGCAACATGGTCGATAGCATTCGATATGCACTAATAAGGTCTAGACACGCATGACATTGGTCGCCACCCAGTGATCAGTCACTTGTGTGGTGTGTACTATTTATGTCGACAGACAAAAGTAGTATATCACACTAATCAGAACTAAAATACCTGACAGCAGAAGGTTGAGGAGATCTAATAGAAGAAAACAAGAACATAAAGGGATCAGTATGAGAAGGAAGGAATATAAAAAGTCTGAGACAATTGATGGACATTTTGTAAATGATATATTTACTGTATAGTTCTTAGATTTTAACAAGAAACTTTGTAATTTGGTTGTCCTCACCTGTGCTCCCTATCATCACAGTTCCAGTTTGTTGTCTAGGATTAAATGTATTAAGGGTTTGATGCTATGAGACGAAGTGTTTCACATTTCACTCATTATCTTCATCGTTTATTGATATATATATTTATACTTTGTCTAACTTAGAATAAAATGTGATGAACTGTAACATTAATTTATGTGAAATGAGTACTCATGTCATAATCTTTATACCAGAACATAAATTGTCAAAACAACTCAATAACGAATTACTAGTTTTTATAATTATCTATGATTTACGTAATAGATTACGTCTTTTAACAATACTGAATAGTTCTTCAGGTGACATTAAGTAAGACCCTAATCTGTATTACTTATTTAATAAATAATTAAACAACTTACCTTAAATATTTATCTAATGACCTTCTTCTTTAACGCACATCCATTTTAAACTATACAAATGAATGTAATTCATTAATATGAAGATGGCCCACAGGTGAACTCGGGGAAGTTCTAGGAAGCTCAGAAAGAGATGAATATATTCCATCCGATCATCTTTTGCAAGAATATTCGAGAATCTCTACTTATAGCTTCCCTATTGAACAAATGCTAATAACAACCCTGTGTGCGGATTAGATAACTATAATGATGATTTCGTTTTTACTAAAAATTATAAATACCATGAGAGTTTTGTACCCCGTATTTAACATTGTCCAGAATAACATTCCTTTCATTCGTCTACTGTCTTCTCATTTGTGACTTGGAAGGTTCTAGAGTTTGAGTGCTCAAGTTATACATGGTATATCAAAGAATTTAAGTTCTAGATATAACAATCAAATCACACCGGTTGAAATCATGAGTTAATTGAAACTAGACCACTATGGAGAACCTGGAAGCACCGGACGGCCGTTTCGTCCTGGTATGGGACTCCTCAGCAGTGCGCATCCACGATCCCGCACCCCACGCAACTTCGTGGATTGGTTGAAGTTATACATTAACACTATTGGATGCCGGCTCAGTGGTCCAATGGTTAGGTGTCCGCACGCGAAACCAGTGGATCCTGGGTTCGAATCCCGCGGGGTGCGGGATCGTGGATGAGCACTGCTGAGGAGTCCCATACTAGGACAAAACGGCCGTTCAGTGCTTCCATGTTTTCCATGATGGTCTAGCTTCAATTGATTTATGATTTCAATCTGTGAAAATTTTAAAACTCTCCACAAAACCCATTCTGATAATAATCAAATTATAATTAAAATTATTTGGAAGAAAATAACGACAACAAAAAAAGATCAATTTTCACTGAAAAATACTCTATGAATCTGTTTCATCACCAATTATTGATTGAGTTTTGTGTTAAAAATAACATAAGAAGATACATATTTCATGAAATTACTAAATAGTTCACCTAAAAATAGAATTCTTCATTTAGATACTGACGAAAACACCTTAGTTAGTTATAACTAACTGATTAACCTAGTTTATTTAATAATCTAAAAGATGAATGAAATTAAATCTACTTGGTGTTGTTTTACTTGTATCATCTCGTGGTTATTTAAGACTGTAATTGATCAGTCTCATGTTGGCATATGTGCATCTTGTACGGATTTCTTCAATTTAGCCTTAAGTCACAAGCTTTTCAAGTAAGGATGGATAGTATCTGGCAGTGAAATCCAGGACGCGCGCCACTTCGTCCTATTTAGGACTCGTCAATCGGATGTACCTGCATCTCAGAGTTGAGTGCATAAGCAGGTGGCTCTCAGGACTCAATAGCTAAGTGAACAGTGTGATAGCGTTTGAAGCGAACGATACTGGGCTCGAGTCCCAGAGTGAATGTCAACTCTGAGATGCAGATACATCCAGTTGACGAGTTCCGAAAATAGCATGAAACGCACTTCCTAGATTCGACTGCTAGCCACTATCCATCTTTGCTTAAAGTGAAATTATTCTGAAACAATTGAGATAACTGGAATTGATTATGTAACACTGATGATTACTGATTTTCAATGTCGCTTTTTTTTTCTTTTAACTTCAATTAGATTTTGATATAAACCTACAAAGTACTATAATCTATTGAGTACATAAGTCTAAATATTTTAAATGAACAAAAAAGAAAAATCTAACTTGTAATGATTGAGATTTACGATTATTTATCTGGTTAAAGTTAAAGAATAGATCTATTTCTATATGAAAAAAAAAAGAGAAACAAACGAATAGACGTATGCCAATTATTGACCAAATAAGTCGTCCTCATATATAGACTAATAAATATTCTATTTAGTATTATGTAATTCTTTATCTCATCAGTTAATGTCAGTACGTTGTGTTAACTTATTACACACGATTAAGTCATGGAGACTTTGGTCATATCCACACTGTTGTCTTAGGATCAAACTCAACCAATGGTGTAAATAAAATGATAATAAAATAATTTTCCTATAAAAATTATTAGAAAGGATAGAGTTTAATTTGTATGTATGATAATAGTGTGAATGGTGACATGGTAGCTTGCATAGATAATCCAAGTCAGATGGATAATGAGGCTTTCTTTTCTAATGAGAGCACTAGAATTAAGCATTATATGGAAAGCTTCAGCTACTCTCTTTTCGTTGTAGTTACAAAAGCCTTTTTGTAATATTTTGATGTTTTTGATATTGATTTGGTGGTTATTGAAAATGGTGTGAACTCCTATTGTTTCTCATCAGAAAGGTCACATTTTTTTTCGTCCTTGATCCTGCACACATACACACACACAAATTTACATACATGTCTCTGATAAATAACCTTGACCGATATGATATGACATTGACTTGTTCAGACCTGTTTTTTGATTGATCGCACGTAATATTCTTGCTTTGTTCTTTTGTACTTTTGAAACTTGAATTAATTTTGATTTGGTTATTTATTCACTGAAAAAGTGGCTCATACTGAGTCATGAAACGTTAGAAAATCTGATTTTTCTACTTATTGAGATATTAAAAATATACTATTTTTATTTATAACAATCTAATTGATGCTCAATTTATTTGAAATGATCAAATCAAACCTTGGTAATGATACATTCAACCAATGGTAGTCTAATATTGTTCCACTCTTGATTTCAATTAAAACTCAACAATTCTATTGTGATAATTACCATGTGTTGATTAGTGACTAACTGAAAGATGGATTTCCTAGAATTCTAATGAGTGGCCGTGACCGGTGGAGTTCAACCATATCCATTATGAGGCAGTTACTCACTGAAGGCAATGGAGGACGATCGTGTAAGATTATGAATCGATTAAAGTTGGATGAAGGCTCAATGGTCCAAAAAACTTGAGACTGAAAGGGACTAGGGCTCTCAATAGTGCAATATCTCGGCATCTACTTGACAACGGGCATACCATCAATATTCCGCACGCTTTTAAAATTATCAGTAGACAAAAAAGCACGACTGCTCTCCGTTTTGTCGAAGCGATCAAGATAAGAAAACTTAAACCGGATTTATGTATTCAGAAAGAGACAGTAGTTACCCTGGTAACCCATTTTATTTTTTTATTTTATTTGTTGGTTATTTGCGTAATCTTAATTATTTTTAAAACATTTATTTTGTGTTATATTCCCCTCCTCCCCCAATACCGAACTCGTAAACCAACTTTTCATTCACACATTTCCACTCACTCACCCTCTTAAATTTTGTTAACTTTTTAAATTCCATTCAATTATTGCGTAACCTATTTTATCAATGCTTATTTCCATGACTCCTTCACTACCTCTAAAAATTATCACACAATTTATAACTCCACTAAACCATTACACCATCAATCCTTAATTGTTTTCTTAATTTTAACACTAACCTCTGACATTTTCTTGCATATATATAGTTATTATTGTAAACCTTTGTCATTCCAATCATTTACATTCATTTATGTCAATTGTTTTACACTATTTCTTATCTCAATGTAAAATCCTACTACATTTTTGGTTGCAAGCAGCTGACGAGAAACCTCGAAATATGATGAATTCATATTATTCTGCATCAATATTTGTTCTTGCTTTATTTAAATTCATAAAGGGAACTAATTGCATGAAAGATCAAAGAGATTGCGTGTGGGATTGTGGATATGCACTATTGACGAGTCCCATACTGAGACGAAACACCCATCCAATGCTTCCATGTTTTCAATGATACTCTAAAATTGATCCACTCATCATTAGACACTATCACTATTGGATGCCGGCTCAGTGGTCCAGTAATTTAAGCGTTCGCGCGCGGGATCATGAATGCGCACTGCTGAAGAGGAGTCCCACAATAGGACGAAACGGCCGTCCAGTGCTTCCACGTTTCCAAAGATGGTCTAACATCAAAGGGTTCATGATCTCAATCAAGAACTTAATAATCTCCACAATCTCTATACTAGTAATCTTCTTAATCTTATACTAATAAATTGAATGAAACCAATTCGACCAATTGAAGTGAAGATTATTTCAACCAATTAAAATAATTAAATAAATAATATAAAACTAGAATCTGACTGATGATGAAATGACTGAAAAGCCATAAAGTGTATATTGTTACCAATTCCTCCCTCCCCTCCAAATAATCAATTATTATTATACATGGATACTAATATTTTACATATATTACATTTTAATGATGTATATAATGTTGAAGAACAAAAACAAGAACCAGTTGGTGGTGCAGCAAGATTTACAACTGCATTAAAATCACATGGAGCTGGCCAACATAGTATTGTATTATTTTCAGGTGATTGTTTAAGTCCATCTTATATAAGTAATATAACATATGGTCAACATATTCCATCAATTATGAATAAAATGTATATTCAATGTTCATTATTTGGTAATCATGAATTTGATTATGGTATGAATAATTTTAATGAATGTATGAATCAATGTAATTTCCCATGGATTAATAGTAATGTATATGATAAAGAATTGAATGAATTACTTGGTACTAAATTACAATATAAGATTATAGATTATAATAATGATATAAGAATTGGTATCATTGGGTTAATTGAAAAAGAATGGATTGAAGTGATACCATGTTTTACAACATCAAATATTGATGTAAAAGATATCATAGTAACTAGTCGACAATTAGGAACATATTTAAAAATACAAAAAAAATGTCATTTCGTTATAGTATTAACACATATGAGATGGTTCAATGATCGTTTATTAGCTATGAATGTACCAGAGATTGATTTAATCCTTGGTGGACATGATCATGAATATCAATATGAATGGATTCAATTAAATGAGAATTTATTATTGGATACAAATTTATTATTGGATAAAAATAAAATTAATATTCAACGTTTAATTATTAAAAGTGGTAGTGATTATAAAACATTTTCACATTTATATATAAAATATGATAAAGAGAATTGTAAAATATTGAATATTGATATTGAACAAGTATTGATTGATAGTCATTGGGAACCAGATAATGAAGTAAGTAATTGTTAATATGATCATATCTCATGAGTCAGTTGAACGTTAGATCATTATAAAAAACCTGGAAGCGTTGGACGACCGTTTCGTCCTATTGTGGGACTCCTCCCCCTTACAGTGTGCATTCACGATCTCACTCCCCGTAAGATTCGAGCTCAGGACCTACTGGTTTCGCGCGTGAGCACTTAACCACTAAACCACTGAGCTGGCCGGCATCCAATGGTGTTGTAGCGGTAAATAAATCCCCAAAATAAATAGCACTAAGTTTTCGACATTGGATGCTGACCATATGTTTTAGTGGACTCACCTAGCTGAAGGCGCTCGGTCAGTCATCCGCACCAGATCACGTGTGGTAACGCCGTGCTCAACATCAACCGCAATCGCTAGCCAGATTAGATCAGAGAATTCCGATATATTGGTCATCGCCAAATACACTCTTCCGATCTCCTCGACTCTGTCTTTTGATTTCTCTGGGCGGGAACGAAATATATTAGAAGGTGTTACTGGTAGAAGCGTTGTCAAACACTGAATACCTGTGACATCATCATTGGTGAAACCGACGTGATCTGGTACACCTAATTGCAACTGTGAGTCTGTTCCTTTTTGGGATTTTTATTTATCATTGCCTTATTTTTTTAACTTTTTTAAACATTGTGATTTTTTTTTCGTGTTTTTTCCTGGATATATATATTTTCCCCTTGTTCATTATCGTACTTCATACTTCATCATGACTGAACAGACACCTAAAGTACTCAAGCTTAAGACTTTGTCCCCGCCTTCGTTTCAACTCATGCCTTTCTGGCCCGACAACATCGAAGCCTGGTTTTGCTACGCAGAAGCCGACTTCTCCGAGCACGGCGTGATCGACACACGTGCACAATTCCTCGCAGTAGTCAAGGCACTACCGCGCGAATTCAACAGGTACGTAACACCTAGTATGTTTACTAGTGATGTTTCCGATCCTTACGAAATCTTAAAACGCTCGATTCTTAAACGAGGAGACCTAACCGATCGACAAAGGTTAGATCAACTCTTCAACAATATCGACCTGCAACACGGTTCTGCGACAGACATGTTGCAACGGATGAGAGAGGTAATAGGCCCAAGAACTTTCGACGAAGGCCTATTCAAACAACTCTTCTTGTCAAAACTTCCCCAACAGGTGCAAGCAGTTCTGGTCTCGTTCCAGAACAACGCCTTAGACGAACTAGCTGCATCTGCCGACCGCATTCTAGAAATTACGAAACCTACAACCGAGGTATTTTCAGTCAAAGAAAAACCTCAAACGACTCAGAATGATATAAACGACTTATGTCACACACTCACGCGTTATCTTAGTCTTCGTACCGACCGTGAGAGATCGCGCACACCACGTAGAAGCATTTCTCGTAAGCGATCTGTCTCTAGACCACGAGAGACAGATAACCCCGACTGGTGCTGGTATCATAACCAGTATGGAAAGTTTTCCAGAAATTGCAGAAAACCCTGCAATTTTCCCAACACGAAACCGACTGATTCGAAAACCAATTCGGGAAACTTCCAAGCCGGCACGCGTTAACGGCAACCGTAGCCGGCGAACAAAGCCGTCTGTTATTCGTCACAGATGTGACAACGAGAGTTCGCTACCTCGTCGACACTGGCGCAGAAGTTAGCGTTCTTCCAGCAAATCCTAACGACCGGCTTCAGGAATCGGCTTTTAACTTACAGGCGGCAAACGGAAAACCGATCGCTACGTATGGCAAAAGGTACGTTTACCTTAACGTGGGTTTACGCAAACCCATCCACTGGATTTTCGTTGTTGCAGATGTTTCTATGCCAATCATTGGTATGGACCTTCTACAACACCACAATCTGATCATCGACACGCGCAAACGGAGGCTAGTAGACGGAAACACTAATTTGTCCGTTTGCGTAACTTCTTTTACTGGTTGTAGAGTATCCCCAGTCACAGTTAAACATATGATAGACCCACTCTATCAGCCACTACTCGATAAGTACCCTGGGATACAACAAAGTCAACCGAAACTACCGTGTGTAACCAGCAATGTTACACATCACATCACGACTACAGGACCACCTGTATTCTCTAAAGCACGACGACTAGCTCCGGAAAAGCTAAGGTTAGCGAAAAACGAATTCAATCACATGATGGACTTAGGAATCATACGACCGTCAAGTAGCCCATATGCATCTCCGTTGCACATGGTCCCTAAAAAGGACAGCAACGATTGGCGTCCAACTGGTGACTATCGGCGATTGAACGCGAAAACCATTCCCGATCGTTACCCGTTGCCTCACATTCACGATTTGACAGCTACCTTGAAAGGTACAACTGTCTTTTCGAAAATCGACTTGGTTAAAGCGTATAACCAAATCCCTATGGCTACTGGCGACATACCGAAAACAGCTATCATAACTCCTTTCGGACTCTATGAATTTTTGCGAATGCCTTTCGGTCTAAGGAATGCTGCTCAAACATTCCAAAGATTCATAGACGACGTTTTTCGAGGTCTCAACTTCGTACACGCGTATGTTGACGACTGTCTAATCGCAAGTCCGGACAGAGAAACACATCTCAAGCATCTGGATCTTGTTTTCGAACGACTTCAAAAACATGGCATAAGTGTAAACGTTCAGAAATGCCAATTCGGAACCGACTCGTTAGACTTCCTAGGACACACTATCGATGCTCAAGGCATTCGACCTCTTAGGACCAAAGTGGCGGCCATTCTGGATTACCCAGAACCGACCACCGTCAAGCAATTACGCACGTTTAACGGCCTGGTAAGTTTCTATAGACGTTTCATACCGAAATGCGCATTACTTATGAAACCTCTGACCGACCAACTTCGTGGAAATGCGAAATCCATTAATTTGGACGACACCGCACGAAAAGCATTCTCCACAGTTAAGGAACTGATTGCTAAAGCAACGATGCTCGCACATCAGGACACCCGAGCACCCATTAGCATCGCAGTAGACGCATCCGACTCGGCAATCGGAGGAGTCTTACAACAATGGGTTAACAAGTCCTGGCAACCCTTGGCATTTTTCTCTAGAAGGTTGCTAGACACCGAATCGAGGTACAGCACATTCGGTAGGGAACTCCTAGCTATGTATTGTGCTGTACGGCATTTCCAACACTACATCGAAGGTCGTGAATTCACTCTTTTCACGGACCATAAACCGCTCACTTTCTCGTTAAGCTCTCCTTCTGACAAGTACTCTCCACGTGAGTCTCGACAACTGGACTACATTTCGCAGTTTACTTCAGATATTCAACACATCTCTGGAGCAAACAATGTAGTTGCAGACGCTTTATCTCGTATAACTTCCTTGAACAGTTTCCAAGGAATCGACCTTCTTAAACTCGCCGAGCTTCAAAAAGAAGACACTGATCTTCAGCACGAGTTATCGTCCACAACACTTAAACTACGCATCAAACAGATGGGAACAGGTAAGGAAACCTTACTTTGTGACACATCTACAGGTAGGGATCGCCCAATCGTGCCGAAACATTATCGACGCAATGTCTTCAACACATTGCACAAACTTTCGCATCCAGGTGTTCGTGCAACCATCAAGCTTATTGCAGAAAGGTTTTGCTGGCCTGGAATGAATAAAAACGTGAGGGAGTGGGCACGCTCCTGTGTAAGCTGCCAAAAATCTAAGGTTATCAGACACAATAAATGTCCCTTAGGCTCGTTTAAAACTCCCGATGCTCGTTTCGACCATGTTCATCTGGATTTGGTAGGACCTTTACCAGATTCAAATGGATACTCTTATCTCTTAACCTGCGTAGACCGTTTCACTCGATGGCCAGAAGCAGTACCTATCAAAGACATCACTGCTGAAACAGTGGCCCGCACCTTCGTCGAACGATGGGTAGCAAACTTCGGCTGCCCTTCAACCATCACTACAGACCGCGGACGTCAGTTTGAATCTGATCTTTTCCGTCGGCTGACCACACTTTTAGGAATCACTCGCTCCCGAACGACCGTCTACCATCCACAAGCAAACGGGTTGGTAGAACGTTTTCACCGACAACTGAAAGCTTCGCTATCAGCTGCAAACGTTTCACAGTGGACCGACGCTCTTCCACTCGTCTTACTAGGTATCCGCAATGCAGTGAAAGCTGACATTGGATACACTGCGTCTCAACTCGTTTATGGTACGACACTTCGACTTCCAGGAGAATTCGTGGATCCTTCATCCTCTTCAATGAACATGGATCTAACCTCCTACACGAACAGGCTTACAAACGCAATGCGTTCAGTTAAACCTGCTTCCACTCGACCTCAATCAACTGATGTTTTCGTTCAACCTGACTTACGATATAGTACACACGTTTTCGTTCGTCGAGACTCGCATCGACGACCCTTCGAATCAGCATACGAAGAACCCTTCAAAGTTCTTCAACGTGAATCTAAGTACTATATAGTCGATAAGAACGGAACCAACGATAGCATCAGTATCAATCGCTTAAAAGCAGCGTATTTAGAAGGAAATCCTATCTACGTGGATTTTCCTTCGGTACAATCGAACGACACGACTCCGACACTTATAATACCTCATCCGACAACCAACACACACGATGATACTTCGACAGTATCCGAAAATAAACTTAAAACGACGCGTTCTGGAAGAAGGGTGAGATTTCCAGAACATCTAAACGACTATTGCACGTAAGGCACTTCTCGACATTTTATATTATTTTTAAAAAAAAAAACAATTTTAATATGCTTATATATTTTTATTTCTATTTAAAAAAAAAACAAAAAAACAATTTTTTTAACGCTATTACGTGTTCATGAGTTTATTTTCCATTTTTTTCCGCCGACATTGTGCTTTTACGCACATACGAGTGTATTTCGACATGCACTTACATTTTCTTTTTTCTTTTCCAGGACGGCTGGAAAAGAACGATGACGTTTATGAGGATCCGAAATTTTCCATGTACATTTTCTTTTTTTACTATGTTGTACCTCCGTCCCATATAGTAAGGAAAGACGACCAGACGCTGCTAAATTTAGTAAGCTATCAGAAGAGTGTTTACCGACGACAAACTCGTTGGGTTTAAACTTCTGGCTGGCCACGTCTTAGGGTCGTCACTGCCCCACTAGGGGGGAGTGATCTGTAGCGGTAAATAAATCCCCAAAATAAATAGCACTAAGTTTTCGACATTGGATGCTGACCATATGTTTTAGTGGACTCACCTAGCTGAAGGCGCTCGGTCAGTCATCCGCACCAGATCACGTGTGGTAACGCCGTGCTCAACATCAACCGCAATCGCTAGCCAGATTAGATCAGAGAATTCCGATATATTGGTCATCGCCAAATACACTCTTCCGATCTCCTCGACTCTGTCTTTTGATTTCTCTGGGCGGGAACGAAATATATTAGAAGGTGTTACTGGTAGAAGCGTTGTCAAACACTGAATACCTGTGACATCATCAGTGTTAATGTCTAACTTCAACTAATCCAAGAAATTAAGCGGTACATCCATCATTGTCTTCAGTGAATTACTATCTCACAATGGACTCGGTTGAACTCAGGAGATGAATTTCCAGTGCTTCCAGGTTTTCCATGTTGGTCTAGCTTCAAATGACTCATGATTTTAACCACTGAAATTATTATAATATCTACAAAACCCATCTGATATTATACTATCTGTAATATAATTTTGAAATTCTTACTCATCCCTCAGTTATTATGCTTAGAGTACCATTATATTTAGTTAATGTAGAGTTATTATTTCATTGGATTTTAAATATGAATTTGAAATTTAAAAATTGATTGTTAATTTATTTTTATTTATTTAAACACATAAATATTGGTACAAGGAGGCATCGAATACATATGCGCCACACAAGTCACTTGATTCGTGTACATTCTGTGATACTGTCCGGTTGCTCAAACCGAAGTAGGTGGTTTTCTTAGAGGACCACACACGGAACCTTCGATCTAAAGGTCTAATCCATAAGGCAGTGGAGCAAATTTAGGATGTGTAGTCACATGGTAGCCTGTGACCAACAATAGGTTAATACACCATTTGTTTCGTTAGAGTCCTGGAGCCCATGTACATCATTGGTTTGGAACGAGGGTTCTCCAACTTCCTTAGGTAGATCCTCCATATTGACCAACCCTGTTAAAGCATCAGCATTCACTTTTCCCCCTCTCAATTTCGTAAACAACACCCCTTCACGAGAAGGCAGTGAGTAGGACTTCCATGGCAGTAATTGTATACACGTGGCCATGTGAGAGCGTTTCGACATGGAGAGCTGACTCGCCCTACTCTCGATCGTACCACGGCATTTGGGGGCAATCTGTTGTTGACTGATATATAAGTTGAGTAAATTTTTCATTATTTGTTCAGTGAGACTATAATTTATGGACGAATCATAATCCTTATTCTTCACACAGGTTTAGCACTCTCATTTAGCCCTACCAAGTAGATGGGTACCCTCAAGGTAACTTTAACGTCACTCAAAGGTCGTCCGTAAATTATAGTCTCACCGTAAGCACTAGTTTTTCATTGATTATCTGAGGACAGTGTATTACCGAAAACTTATCCTGAACATTTTTGAATTACTGACCGACTTAGGCTTTCGTCATATAGTTAAACCGAATTTTCTTATTTAGTCATTTATTACTGGATATTATAAGTATGAAATAAAAGGCTGTTGATGACAGTGAATTATAGTAAACGAAGATGTAGGTGAGGCAAGATCATTTTACAATTTGATACAAAATAACACAATGGACTAGTAAAATATGAAAATCATACATTAAATACATCATTTGCATATCATTCTTGTGTTTTCCTTTATATACTTCATGACTGTTCCAATTCTGTTGTTATTCCATTTATTCTGTCCCCTTTTCTGTTCTTCTCAATTCAACCTTCTGTTGACAGGCATTCGTCTTCTTACAGATGCTATATACTACTTATATTTGTCAACATAAATAGCATACACCACAGAACCACCAGTTGTCTATACTAATTTAATCTAATCGTAGTGAGTTATTTCAAATTTACTGAACAAGTATTTCAGGAAACTGTTCAGTGATCACAAACTTCTTAATGACTTGGCAAATATGTATATCAATAGTTGAAATCATGAGTCAATCCAAGCTACACCACCATGGAAAACCTAGGAGCACTGGACGACCGTTTCGTCCTATTGTGGGACTCCTCCTTGGCAGTGCGCATTCACGATCCCGCCTCTCGGTATTCGAACCCAGGACCTAACCACTAGATCACTGAGCTAGCCGTCATCTAACGGTGTTAATGTCTAACTTCAACTAATCCACGAAACTGAGCGACACATCCACCACTGTTATCAGTGAGCTCGAATCCCGCGAGGCGGGTCGTGGATGCGCACTGTCAAGGAGGAGTCCCACAATAGGACGAAACGGCCGTCCAGTGCATCTAGGTTTTCCATGGTGGTCTAGCTTCAATTGACTCATGATTTCAACTATTGAAATTACTAAAATCTCCACAAAACTCCTTCTGAAAATATATATATCTCAATAACCTGAATTTACAAAGACAAACTAGTCAACTTTTGGTGTTTTATTCGGTAGTTTCATTTCGTTCTCAAATAAGATCTATCCTAATAGATAAACTATTTGACAAACCTTGTTTGTAGTGGTCTGTAGGGTAACTGGAAAAATGCACACGGAAATGATTTTTCTACTTATACTAGTTTTCTTATTTTTGACTAATACATGAAGAAATGCATGTGACGGATACCTACTTTAAACATTGTTAATGTTGATTGGATGACCTATTCAGTGTATGCAGTGAACCGAAGAACCATGTACCTATTTATATTCGATAATTTTGATTATATTTCCTTGAAAAAACTTGGACCAGATTACCAGGCAAAATGTTGGATTTACTTCAAATTCATTCGCTGACATTTTACAAAAACATTCTTGCTATTTAATGTCTCACATCAACTTGACACCCAAATACTGTGAAACTATTCGACCAGATTTAGATGAAAGTTCTTATGTATGTGACGGGTGTTCGATAACATCCTTAATGTAACGCTCATTTATTTTAGAATCATTGAGTAAGTGTTGTTCATTTTAAATGTAAATTATTGGAAAGAGATGGCTGAGCAAAGAATACTGTTACTGATTTGCACAAACTGAGGTGAATAAGCCATTTTTTATGTACCATAAGTTATTCTCTACTATGCTTTGTTATGACAATGAAATTAGTGTTCGCTTTAGAAAAAGAAGGTGAATAGACTAAGATAAAGTACTAATGTGGTGTATGCTACTCATGTTGATAGATATAAGTAGTATGGAACGCCGATCAGAAGTTGATTGCCCAGCAGTAGAAGACTGAGAAGACCGAACTGAAGAGAACGGAAAAGCAAAGAGAGAGGTATTTTAATAACAACAGAGATGAAGGAAAGACGAAGTTTGTAAAAGAAGATTGATGGAAGATATGCAAATGATGTATTTAATGTATGGTTTTCATATTTTATGATTATCCCCTCAAAGTCTTCTTACATAAAGTAAATAAAGTCTTTAATTGTTAGTCTAAAGCTAAAATCAAAGTATAAATACATGCTTTCATTGGTCTAAGCATTTGAGTGACATTGTTGTTATCACCATAGCTCAATTTCCCCCAAATACCCTGGTACAGTCGAGAGTGGGGAGAGTTATCTCTCTCTCTCTCAAAATACTCTAACATTGTCACGTGCATACAACCACTGTCAGAGAAGTTCTACTCAATACCTTCTCACGGCATTATTGTTGTTTACAAAATTAACAGGACGAAAAGCGAATGTCCGGTGCTTTAACTGGGGGTGTGGACATGGAGAGTCCACCCAGGGGAGTTGGGTAACTCTCATTCCAAACCAATGGTATACATGGGCTCCAGTATCCTGAAGGAACAAATGGCGTATGAACCTATTGTTGGTCACAGGCTAACATGTGACTGCACTTCCTAAATTTGCTCCACTGCATTGTGGATTAGACCTTTAGATGGAAGGTTCCGTGTGTGGCCTCTTAGAAAAACCACCTACTTCGGTTTGGGCACCCTGGCAGTATCACAAAATACATGCAAGTTGAATATTCATAACATTTCAGTGATTCAACTATTCCAATTATGGTATTGAAAGTATAAATTAACCTAAGAAATGTTTTTTTGAAATATGAACTAACCGAAAAATAATTTTTTATTCGCTCAAATTATATTATATGTATTATATGTGAATATTTTTCAAGATTCAATTGCTTGAAGTTAGACATTAACACCGTTGGGTGTTAACTCAGTGGTCTGGAGGTTTAGCGTTCGGACACGAGATCGATAGGTCTTGGGTTTGAATCCCTCTAGGCAAGATCATGGATGTGCACTGCTGGATAGTCCCATACTAAGATGAAATGGCCATCCAGCGCTTTCAGGTTTTCATGGTGACCTGGTTTCAATTGACTCATGAATTCAATTATGAAATTTAATAATTAAAACAATATCTCTCTTTTATTCTATTCTCAAAAAAGGTTCAAGAACTCGTTATTAAATCTACTAAAAAATTAGAAAAGAAACTGGGTAAACCATTAGGACGAATTGAAACTGACTTTGATGTTAGATCCAATTCAGTACGTTTAAAAGAATCAAATATTGGCAATTTCATTTGTGATATAGTATTAACAGCTATAGAAGCCGATTGTGTATTATTCAACACTGGTACCTTAAGAGGTGATCGAATTTTTAAAGCTGGATTATTCACTTTGCGTGATTTAATGACTATACTACCATATTCGGATAAATTATCAGTTATTGAAATAACTGGTAGTCAATTAATAGAAGCATTAGAAAACTCAGTATCAGAATATCCAAAATCTGAAGGTAAGTATTACTATTATTATGTGTGTTTGTCTGTTATATGTATGATACATAATATTATGTTTGACTTCACTCATTATCCGATCACAGCTTACATTGTCTGGATTTATCAGGTTAATTTTTTGCGATAATAACTCACTGATGACAATGGTGGACGTGTCGCTCGATTTCGTGGATAATTTGAAGTTAGACATTGAAACCGTTGGATACCAATTGGCTCAGTGGTCTAAATATTAAGCGTTCGCGCATGCGAGACCTATAGATCCTGAGTTCGAATCTCGTGAGGTGGAATCGTGGATGCGTACTGCCTAGGAGGAGTCCACAGTAGGACGAAACGGTCGTCCAGTGCTTTTAAGTTTTCCATGGTAGTGTAGCTTCAATTGACTCATGATCTCAACTACCGAAACTAATTTTTTCTTCACAGACTAATCAATCGTTATTTCACTTTTCTTTGTTAGGCAATAAACAACACAATTTCTTTGTAGCATCAAAGCTAGTCTTAATCACGATTTGTTCTAATGTTCATAGTTTATATCAATATGAAGTTATGTCTGAGCGTCACTAGAGAGTTTCAAGCTAAGATGGAAAATCTGATTTTCTATTACGGTCGTTAGTTGACGTCGATTTTACTTATTTAAACATATAAACATTGGTACAAGGTGACACTAAATAGATAGATGCCACATAAATCATTTGATTTATGTGTGGGCTGGGATTTTGTCTGTGTGCCCAAACTGAAGTAGATAGTCTTCTTACGGAACCTTCGATCCAAGGGTCTAATCCACAAAGCAGTGGAGCAAATGGTAGCCGGTGACCCACAATAAGTTTATACGCCATTTGTTCCGTTAAGATTCTGGAGCCCATGTACACCATTGATTTGAAATGAGGGTTTCCCAACTCCCCTAGGTAGATCCTCTATATCCACCATCCCAGTTAAATCTGCAGGTATTCACTTTTCGTCCTTTCTATTTCACAACCAATACCCCCATCACGAGAAGGCCTTGAGTAGGTCTTCCGTCCTAGTGGTTGCATGCACGTAGCTATATGAGATCATTTCGAGATGGAGAGCTGACTCTCCCCACTCTCGGCCATACCAAAGCATTTAGAGTCTACAGTTATACATACCTTATCATTAAGAATCATTTCATAATTCTAACAAGATTGTTATAGTTTATTTTAGTAAATCTTACATTATTCATGATACGGTAGTAATAATTCTAATATATCAGTGTTACATATTTCAATGATTTATTTTGTTCAACATTCAATATTATCAAATTTAAAAAGGACGTTTTCCAATGATTGGCGGTATTCGTTTTACATTTAATCCATTAAAACCAATTGGTACACGAATTCTAATTGAAGAAGTCACAATACAAAATGAACCAATCAATATGAAACATAATTATCGTTTATGTATAACTGATTATTTATATAATGGAAATGATGGTTATCAACTATTTCCTAAATGTACATTATTATTAGATAATGAAAAATGTCCAATTCTAATTATATTAATACAAAATTATTTTAGAACTATACAAGTAAGTTGAAGTTTTAAATGAATATAAATAACTTACTTATTTACTTACTTACTTACGCCTGTTACTCCTAATGGAGCATAGGCCACCGATCAGCATTCTCCAACGCACTCTATCCTGGGCCTTCTTTTCTAATTCCATCCGATTCTTGCTCATTTTTCTCATGTCTATCTCCATTTCCTCAATGTGTGTCTTATCCACTTCCAGTGCTTCTTCCTAATTTCTTCCTCCGCTGGGATCTGGTTTGTTCTTCCCCACAGTAGGTTGTTGCTAATAGTGTCCGGCCAATGGATCCGAAGTATTTTACGTAGACAACTGTTAATAAACACCTGTATCTTCTGGATGATGGCTTTCGTAGTTCTCCAGGTTTCTGCCCCATACAGTAGAACTGTGTTGACATTTGTATTGAAAATCCTGACCTTGGTGTTGGTTGACAGACAGTTGCTTTGAGTTGCAGATGTTCTTCATTTGTAAATATGCTGCTCTTGCTTTATCGAAAGTATTGTGTTCTCTGAAATACATGGTTTATTTATAAAGTTTACTATATATTCTTTTAAATAACATCATCAGTGTTATGGCTTCCGCTAATAAAGAAGAATCAGACTATTTTCTAATCACTTTGAACATTGTACTTAGTGTTTAGAAGGTGGAATGAGCCTTTTCGCATTATAAACTTCCCTGAATTCTGTTATATTATGTAATCATAGAACCTGTGTTGGAATCTCATGAGGCGGGATCGTGGGTGTGCACTGCTAAAGAGAAATCTTACAACAGAACGAAACGGTCATTCATTGCTTCCAGGTTTACCATAATGGTCTAGCTTCAATTAACTCATGATCTCAACTATTGGAAATACTATAATTACTGGTTTCAAATAAATTCTAGTTATATCAACCATTACAGAACTGTAAGCTGAAATTGAACTTCATGTTCTCCCTATTGTGATTGGCCTGACTGCAATGTAGTCTGTCTTTATTTAACTAACAATCAATGAACATTTCAATCTTTGCCTGACTGATGTAACTAAATACGATTTTGTCCAATTATTTAGCTTATGAAAAAAAACATGAGCCAAATACTATTTATTTATTGGTATAAATAAAGGCATATAATTATTTTAAGCAAATATAGATAGCGGCTAGCAGTGGAATCTAGGACGCGTGTTTCGACCTATTTGGGACTCGTCAATTAGATATACCTGCATGGATGAACCTGAAAAGGTACTGGGTTGGAGTCCCAGAGTGAACCTCAATCCTGAGGTGCAGGTACATCCAACCGATGAGTCCCAAATAGGACGAAATGCGTGTCCTGGATTCCACTACTAGCCACTATCCATCTTTGCATATAATGCTTGTGAATTAAGGCTATATCGAGGCGATCCGCACAGTATGCACATATGCCAATAAGAGAGAGACTGATCAATTGCAGTCTTAAATAAAAATGCGAAGATACAAGTAAAATAACACCAAGTGAATTTAAAAGCAAATAACATTTTCTGTGTTTTATTATTAGAAGGGGACTTTAAAATGTTATGACCAGACAAGAAATCTGAAAACTATTTGAAACAAAACAACAAAGTTCAAATACTTACACAGGTTGAAATCATGAGTCAGTTGAAGCTAGACCACCATTGAAAACCTGGAAGCACTGGACGGCCGTTTCGTCCTGGTATGGGACTCCTCAGCAGTGCGCATCCACGATCCCGCACCACGCGGGGCTCGAACCCAGGACCTACTGGCTTCGCGCGCGAGCACTTAACCACTAGACCACTGAGCCGTGGATGCGCACTGCTGAGGAGTCCCATACCAGGACGAAACGGCCGTCCAGTGCTTCCAGGTTTTCAATGGTGGTCTAGCTTCAACTGACTCATGATTTCAACCTGTGAAATTTCTAAAAATTCTCCACAAAACCCATTCTGATAATTCAAATACTTACTTGTATAAATCAATAATGAATAATATTAAAACAACTATGGTTTAACATTACTGTTCATATTCGCCTTTAGCATTAATGAACAAATTTCCAAATCCTTGTAATTCATCACTTCTTAAACTTGTCTCTATGCGAAATTAATCTGTTATGTCTCGATAAGCATAATGAATGATAACTTTTGGGATCCCTTTATGGACCAATACTATGCGTATATTTTTATCGTATAAATGTTATGTAACTAAACTATTCATATTTATCATAAGAGACTGATCAATTCCAGTCCTAAAACATCAATGGGAAGATTCAAGTAAAACAATATCAATTGAATTAAACTTCACCCCATTGCACAAGCAAGTGGGTATCAGGACTTAGTAGCTAAATGGATAACGCGATGGCGTTTGAATCGAACGATACTGAGTTCGAGTCCCAGAGTGGACATCAACTCTGAGATACAGGTACATCCAGCTGACGAGTCCCAAATAGGGCGAAATGCGTGTCCTGGATTCCACTGCTAGCCACCATTCATCTTTGCATATAATGCTTGTGAATTAAGGCTATATCGAGGCGATCCGCACAGGATGCATATATGCCAATAAGAGAGACTGATCAATTTCAGCCCCAAAACATTAATGGGAAGATTCAAGTAAAAGAATATCAAGTTTTTTATTCATATTCATGTCCCGCTTATTATGACCTTTATTTTGACCTATGAACTATTATTCTACGATTTACCATTCTTGAATTATCCCCTTTCTATCAATTACTACCTCCCATATTCACAGCCACATTTGGCTAAATCTTGTACAAATATTGTTTCCTATTTCATGATACGATGTGGTATATAAATCGACTATGTTTGAAATAAATAATTCAAGTTTCAAATATGATTACAGGTAGAGATAATTTATTTCTCAGGTTAACATATCTTTAAACATATTTAGGCAGATAAAATGTCTACCTAAATGTAAGGAATACATACATTTCAACTAGTCACTACAATTTTTTCTTGAATATTTATAGTCATACCCTCAAAATTTACCGTTAGAGATTAAGAAAAAAAAACAACCCATATTCAATTTAATGTCAGCCTTTGGTCTAATTTCATATTTTCATCGTGTAATAATGTCGGCCCGCGTGAACATCTGAGCTACCTGTTTCTGATAGCTAGATATTTCAACAAGTGCATTTCTGAAAAATGTACAACTTTTTGTTGTACAAGTTACAAAAGGCCTAATCCGAGATATCGTGGTTGCTGGTAGTGTGTAGCGAAAAGAATGTACATTATTTAGATGTCTATTGACTGGACTGCTAACTTCTAACTGGCGATCTTTTAATAATTATTGTCAGAATCGACCAAGAAGTAATCCTATCTTTTGTAGATGCTCAACTATAATGTCCTCCTTGAAATCTACTTTGAACCGATCGTACGTGAACATTGGGTATTGAAATAGGCGCCATGACCTTGAAACCACTCACCTGCTTCTGAATGAGTCGTCTATAAATTATAATCTCACCATTACGATGTAAATCGGCGAGCAGTGAAATACATCGGTATATAGAGTGTGAAACAAATCTGAAGACAATTTCTTAGAATTTAAAATTTAGGAATTATAAATACTTCGATAGAATTAATCTATCTGTCGGTGAGACTATAATTTGTTTCTACGGAAATCTGAGATACTTTTTGTGTGTACTATTTCATACTCTATATTATCTATGTATTTTGCTACTCACCGATGTACATCGTAATTATAGTAATACGTATCCTTTTGTTAGAACGGGTTTTTGTGGATATTATACTAATTAAAATCGTTGAATTCATAAGTTAATTGAAGCTAGACCACCATGGAAAATATGAGAGCACTGGACGACCATTTCGCCCTAGTATGGGACTCCTCCTCAGCAGTGCGCATTCACGATCCCGCCTCTCGATATTCGAACTCAGGACCTATTGGTTTCGTGTGCGAACGCTTAACCTCTGGGCCACTGAGCCAGCATCCAACGGTGTTAATGTCTAACTTCCAGCTTTGTCACGATGGGCTAGCTTCAGTTGACTCATGATCTCAACCATATCCTTTTATTATTTGCTTAATAAAAGTACATTACACTGATGTACCTAAGAAAATTATCAACTAATCAGAAAGTAGTGTTTTTTTCACAGGAAGAAACGACAAATTTCAACGAATTAATGAAGGTTAATGTATTGAATTACTTATTAAGCAATCTGAAAAGTGACAGCGTCAAGTATTAAGGGTTTGGTTAAATTTATGTATTGAGGTTAGAGGTTTTCATTATCTCCATGGCAAACTTTTTTACCCCCCACACACTTTAAAAATTTTTTTCTTCAACCTCAAAATTATAATATTTTTCATCCCGTTTCATCCAATGAAATGGCCAGTTTAAAAATTCGTTTTAATTGGTTAGTTAAGTCCTGTCAATTTGTTATAAAACTTCAGAACATGTCGACAAAGTACATTTTAATCATCATTATGGAGGAGAGTAACGTACTATGTACAAGCGCTGTTGTTTCTCACGTTGTCATAGAAATGGAGGAAGTCTTTTTGACAACCTTGTTTCTCATTGCGTTCCAATCAGTTGAAGCGTTAAAGTCCACTATCACAAATTATGAAAGATCGACTTACTGTCATTATGTAGTTCGAGATTCGCATTTGTACAGAGATGAAAACTCGTATATTGAATTTGTGTGCTGGAGACATGGCCGTAGAACATCTAGCGGTTCGTCACAGCGGATCAGACGGAGGAGGTAATTTGATTAATGTTATTAAATTTTTTTCATGAAAGGTTTCCATGAACACTCAATGTCCGGCCTTCATGTATTGTAAGATTATAGACGGCTACTGGACTATTGTACGTGGGAATGTGCATCACAATCACGAGTTCAATTCCCTGAAATACGACAGTAATTCTTGGGTGCGCAGGTCAACGGAGGCCCAGTTTGAAAATGTGCGACCGCTGCTGATATCTGGTACGGCTTCATTCCACATTAATAATTATGCTTACCATTCTTATGGGAAACTTCTGAATGATCAAGATATCTTTAATATGCGGTA